ATAAGAGAGGCAAATTGAAAATGGATTGTTTTTTAAAGTAAGGAGTTCCAAAATACCCAAACATTGATCATCTTCAGGGAATTTACAAAGGTATACTGAGGTCCTTGGTTTAAATAAAATCTGTGAATAATCTGTAAACTCATATTGAGTTTAAAGAAATGTCAGGTAGTCTTTCAAAATCTAGAAACTCAGATCAGATTTATTCTTATTTTGAGATGGAGTTCTCATTTTCATTAATTTACATACTTAACTCAGTATACATTGATTGGGTTTTCTGTAAAGCATTATAAAGCCAAATACCAGGTCTGACATTCCTCCTCCATCAATATCATTTAACAACATACTGGATTTACATAAACTAGCCCTTTTTCCAAAACTGCTTGTTGATCATTTGGATAGGGCACTTAAGAACCTATAGAATAAAGTTAAAAGACAAGAAAAGATCATCAATCCTATTTCCACATTTTAATTATGCAGCCACAGATTTCCAAACAGATAATACAGCCAGCCAGAGACAAAATGGGCATGTGAGGCAAAGTGGTTAACTCAAATCTAATATTATTCTCACTATACAATATATCTGATTGTATCGTTGACCAAAATATATTATTATTATTTAGGCCAAATATATTAATTGACTCCATCCAATACCATCTTATATTTTTAAATAGAAAGGTGAAAACAAAATTGGAAATTAAAAGGTAAAAAGCAGCGTGTAGTAATGGAAAAATTATAGCGTTTTCATAGCTAGGTAGATGTAAATTTGATTTTGACTCCTTGATTTACTAGCTTTATTACCTTGGGCAAATTGCTCAACTTTTCTGGGGTTGTAACTACCTGAGAGATGTAAGAATGAAACGCAGTGGTACAGGTAAAACATCAATCATAAAATAGGTGCTCAATGAATATTGGTTCCCATTAATTCTAACCTGAGAAAAAAAGAGCTGTGCCATTTCTAGCAATTTCCTTTAGCTCTTTGGATCTCAGTTTTCTCAGCTACAAAATGAAAAGATGGAACCAAACAAATTCACAATTTTTTTCAGCTCACCAAGAAAGGAATAATTCCCTAAAGAATTCAACTTTCATTTAAATTTAACAAACACTTAAGTATATTCTACCCATCCAAAGCACTTTAACAGTTCAGTCACCACAAGAAAGATATTTATGATTTCAGCAAAATGGAATCCAACTTTAAGGCACTGTAAGTTCCAAAAAGAAAAATTACTATGCAAACCAAAGAACTCTAATTTCAAGAAAAACTCTACAAGGACATAACAAATTTAATGTCATAAGCAGATATTTTAGAGTATACCTTCAATTATTACTTTCTCTTTTTTGCTAGAATAGAAAATGAGATATTAAATGTTTATACTATCAGTCTATAACAAAAGACTCAAGAAACATTTAATTAAGAGAAATGAATGCCACTTTTGAAAGGAGAAAAGGGATGAACAATAGACTTCTCTTCCTATGTGTGTCTTATGCAAGGTTTTAAATTTCATTCTGAAACAGAGGGTAATAAATTTTATTCCAAGATATTTTTATAGTGATAAACAATAATATAAAAAGGTAGTTGACAATGTTCTCCACCTTATTTGTGAACTTCATGTTTTAGGATTTACATTTTTTAAAATAAAATTAAATGCCCAAAGCTTATAGATGAGATATGGGGAAATATTAGCTGATCTTAAATGGAAGTATTAACAACAATGTTTTTTCTCCTTTTCTCTTTCATAAGTAAATCATTCTCAGTGGATCTTTTTCATTATAGGTAAGACTATTTGCAAGTAACTCTTTAACATGTTCAAAATACTATTTAAAATTATGATTAGGGGTCCTAATCACAGTTTTCCAAAAATTCACTTCAGGTTTATGCACTTACTTTACCTATAACTTACTTGAACTATAGAATTTTAGAATACACATCTTAGATGATACAACATCAAGAACAAAAAAAAAAAAAAAAGCTTTTCCTCTGGTAAGTGTGAAGAGATAGGAAAATTCCATTTAAATATTATCTCAAATATGTAAAATAAACAATATAATCCTTTTTTTAAATTGACATCTATGTTACATGGTTATTTGGGGTGGGGGGTCCGAAAAGATGATAGAGAATAAAGCACGTCCCCAACGTAGGTTGTGTGCAGAGGTCCAGAGAGCCACAGAGACATGCTTCAGGTATACATTTACCAAGCATAGGGTAAACCAGAGGCAAAAGGCCTATATTCCATTTCTGCTGTTACTACAAACTTGATATGTGATTTCTTTCACTTTACCATGATTTACTAGCTGTATTACCTTGGGCAGATTGCTCAACTTTTCTGAGGTTGTAACTACCTGAGAGATCTAAGAATGAAATTAGTTGTTTCTTCATGAAATAACAGGTGGAACCATATGATCCTCTTAAGGTTTCTTCTAGGTAAAGTCTGTGCATAACTTTAATATAGTATTTGAAAGGCATACAACACAAGGCAGAAGCACTCACAGGAGCCCTTATTTTGCTCTTTATGAGGCTAGCAAGACTAGCCATCTTCTGTAGTCAGCTAGACATAAATGGCCAGGATTTGAGGTTGGCTGAAGAACACACTGATGGCTAAGGAAGTACTTAAAGAGAAAAAAAAAACTGTTTTCTCAATATAGTAAAAAGAAAATGTGTAGGAGGTATGTGAGTTCTCACAACCTCAGACCCTTTGTGTCAGCCTTTCACCTTGGCTGGCAGGAGGCCAGCCTCTGCCCTTCAGATTCCTTTTCTGGAAAACAATAAAACCTAACTCATAGGATCATGATGAGCAATCAAGATAGTCCCTGCAACACAGCAAAAAGACTGATATAGAGTGAATGTTAGAATAGAATAGGGTAGATGGGTAGACAGAGAGGCAAAGATTGATAGATCTGAAACTCCCTGAAAAGTCCCAGCTGAAGATCATTTAGGTAACCAAAGCTTTCTGATCTGTAAGAGAAACAGTTCTGAAAATGAATGATTTTCATCCCCATTCTCCACATCTGACCCTTGAAAGTACACTTATTTTTATGCAGCAGTTACATTGTATGCAATGACCCAAGACCACCTTCATAGAATAGAGTTTACCATAATATTTAAAAGTACAAAGTGAAATTTAAATCCTGGCTCTACTATTTAACTGCTGTGCAGTCTTAGGCAAGAAGTTTAATACCTCTGCCCTTCAGATTCCTTTTCTGTAAGAAAGAGAAAACAATAAAACCTAAACCATAGAATCATGGCAAGAATCAATCAAGATAGTCCCTGCAAAATAGCAAAGAGCCTGATATAGAGTGAATGTTAGAATAGAATAGGGTAGATGGATAGACAGAGAGGCGTAGATTGATAGATCTGAAACTCCCTGAAAAGGCCCATTTGAAGACCATAAACAGTTTACTGGCAGTGAATTGCATCTGCTGATCTTTCTTCTTCTGAGCATACAATATGGCAAAGATTCAAAGCTGGGCTCAGCTCTTACTAATAGGATCCTACAGGAATCAAGAGGAAATGAGATTATCCTGAAAGTAAGTTACTGCTTTAAGATAGATCTTTAAAAGACTCATAAACACACACACACACACACACACACACACGTCATATGAAATCAAAGAAAGGGAGTTGTTTCTCATTTATGTCTTCTCAAGTGTTGCCAGCACTAAAAGCTACAGAATTTTATAACTCTGTGAATCCATAGAGACTATTCTATTTCAACTCTTTCATTTGATTGAAAAGTAGCCGACAGCCAGAGAGGTTAAGCAACTTGTTTGGGGCCATTCAGCAGTAAATGACAATACCAAGGCAAGTCTTATTTCCTCACCCACCCAGTAGTTGACCTAATATCTTTCAGCAGGTCAGCATCCCATTCTTGCTAGGCCAAAGGAATAAAAAAAAAAAAAAAAAATACAAAGTTTTCTCCCTTCTTCCCAGGTTTCTAAAAAAGTAGAGAAGCAACCTCAGCCCCTCAAGACCTTCTTTCCTGAGCCTCCTACCTTGGGAACTGAGGAGGATCCCAGTGAATCTGCTGCTCTCTCCCAACCCCTCTCCAGAGTTTCTGCTCTTTCCTTGCCTTCATAAAGGCTGCTTCTACAACTTATCACCACAAAGGTCAGCACTTCTCAGGGTTGAAGTTAAAACCTGCTAATTTGCAAATTCTCAGCTCACTCTACTTTCAGACAGTAAATATAGAAAAACTGTTTCAGCTTCCTGAGTGAATTCAGTTAGAGCTGACTCCTCCATCCCTAATATAATGCAGTTAGATTCATTTATAAAGTGTGTGGGGGTATGAAGGGCTCTGAGAACCTTAGGTATGCCTAACACAGGGAACAAAAGAAAAAAACGCACCAGGAAGAAAAAAGATCGATTGGGAAGAGGGGGAAGATGGGTAGAAAGAGTACACTGAATAAATTGCCAAATGTAGATCCTGGAAACAGCTCTGCTGCTGAGAGTGACTCACTGCTGAGTCGCCAGAACCACCCAGGGGATAGCACAGGTTTAATTATACGCTCTGGTAACTGACTGACAACAGGCTGGTCCCCCAAACCGTACACGCAGAAAACAGAGGCTAACTCGAAGTGGCAGACACAAAGAACTCTATCTCCAGCTCCCTTTCCTAATCTGATGCTCACCACTCTGCCTGCTGGGTGCACCCCACACTCCCCAAATTTTGCAGCACCACTTCTAATAGGGAACTCTCCTCCTTGCAATCCTGAAAGTTGGAGGGAGGCATAGAGCTGCTGAGGAGTCTCTCAACTATACCAAGTGCTTCCCCTTCCCTGACTGCTTTCAGGGAAACGGATCCTTTCACTGGGTGCCTCAAGCTGACAGAAGTGGGGGCTTCTCACCACTGAACACATGAACTCCCTTGCGGCATCCTTCTGCCCATGTCTTTGCTCTGAGGGTAGGAAACGTAAGTGTCACAGTGAGTTAAGCGTTCTGCCCCCACGTAGGCACCCACCCGCAAAACCGGAAGAACGACTTTACTTTTGCCCTTTTCTCTCCCTACCTGAATTCTGGGACCAGGTTAGGCTGCAATCCATAGAAGGCAGCGGAAAGAGTAACCAGCCATCCTGGCTTGTAACTCCCGTTCTCGCACTCCAGATAAGGCGGAGACCACTTGACATGGCTCTTGTCCCCGCCAAGTCCGTCCCTGCGCCGCCAGCTATGGCCCAGGCCCCGGGGCCCCTGATTGGAACCGCGGCGGTGTAAGTGGGGCCTCCACTTGCGCCGGAGGCCGTGGAACCACTCGGTTTCCAGAGTGGCGTTGGCCAGGTGGTGTGCGGAAGAGGACAGGTCCTGGAGCAGGATGCGACTCTCTTCACGAGTGGCCTGGAGGAAGACTTGCGGGGCCGGCGCGGACAGAGACTCGGTGGTGAAGGTGATGGCCGCCCGAAAGATGCTGGGCTCGCCCTCTAAGAGGCTCCGTACCAGCGCCTGGTACCACTCCAGGTCATCCTGCAAGTTCTGCTCCCGAGACTTATTGCTCTGCAGCATCATGTTGAGGAAGTTGGTGGCGTGTGTCAGCGTGTCCAGCGCCCCGTGCAAGGAAGGATGGGAACTAGCTAGGGCTGGCGACTTCCCCGGCAGGCCTGCCAACTCGTAGCGGCCGGAGCAGTTGGCTCGCTTCAGCTGGTGGGAGTCCCCGGTGTAGAGGTAAGAGGCCACGTCCATGGGCACCTCCTCGGCGAGTTTCTGCGCCAAGATGGTGCCGTCGGTGGAGCGGCTCCAGGGAGCCGAGGGGTCCGAGGCAGAGGCTCGAGCCAGCTGCTGCGTGTGCTGCTTCCCCCTCAGGGTCTTCTCTCGAGGGGAATCCGGCCGTCCCGGAGGGTCGCGGCTGGCGCCAACAGTTCCCAGTCCCAGATGAGCGAGCAGGAGGCAGAGGAGTAAGGGGTGAGCCATGGCTCCCATCTGTCTCGCAGAGAGGAAAGGAGGTAACGAGAGGAGTCACTTTTTGAATTTCGATCGTCAATTTATCAACAGGAAGACTTTTAATAGGGGGGTCTTCCCTCTTCTCCAGACGGCTCCCAGTCCAAAAGGACTTTCAAATAAAAATGTTTCGAAATTGGCCCAGCTGGCTAAACCGCGGTTACAGGAAATCAAATCACCTGTGGCAATGCTGGCTGCACCCGCTCCACACTGGGTCGGCTCGGAATTACGCACCTTGCAGCCTGGAGCAGACCAGGTTACATCCCCCTCGCGCTCCGGGCAGCTATAGTTAGCCTGCTTACGTCTTTCTGCTCAGCCGCTGCCACCGCCGCTCTCATTGAGGTGTGTTCAAGAGCTGCTGCTGTTGCTGCTGCTGCCACCGCGGCCGCCGAAGACGCTGCTCCATCATCTCACCCGTGGCAGGTCGTTCCCGCCTCCCTGCTCTGGCTCCTCCCGACCCCCTCGCCCCGAGGCACGGAGCGCGCACCCAGAACTGCACGGCGAGCGTAGGAGAGAGTCCCACGGAGCGGAGATTTCTTTTAAGATGTCTGTTTCTCTGGAGTCGGGAGGGCCAAGCAGCTGGTTAATTGGAGCCTTTAGGTTTGGCCACAAACCACACTGCCGCCTCTCCCTGCTCTCGGGAGGAAAGCCAGTTTAAAGAGCCAGCTTGGCCGCAACCAAACCCTTGGAGGGCGGCTTCAAGCCGTCTTGCTCCCTGTTTGGTCGGCTCTGCTGTCAATCAGCTGACTGCCATTGGTTGGGCTAGGGCGGGAGCTGTCCAGTGCTGAACCCGAGGCGGCACGGAGGAGGCGGAGGAGCAGGCGGCGGCGCGGGAGGCAGCCTAGCAGAGTCCTTTCACCCACTCGCGTACACCGAAGACTCGGAAACCCGCAGGGGTGGGATAGGGAAGGGTGGGCGGGAGTGAGGGAGAAGCAAGCTTTGGGCGGCTCAGAGCGAAGGAAACTTGGACATAATGAGGAGGAGGGTGTTGGTGTCTTGAATTCTTAGTTAAATCAGCCTTTTCTTTTGCCTGGAAAAGAGGGAGAAGGGAGTAGTTTTCATTTTTTACTTAAACTGGGAGGGAGGAACGTAGTATGGAGATGTGTCCTCCTGAGAATCTGCTCATTTTTAGGCAAATTATCAAATCTTCTTCCTTGTTGTCGGTTAAAGAAATGATTAAAACCTTGCTGAGGCTGGTCTCAGCTTTGGGAGAGTAATGGAGACATCTACTGGCTGAGCTTTAAGAACAAAACAATACTATAAGAAATCTCTTCTTGGGATCTAGGATTGGGGAACCTATGAAAAATGTAGGAACATAAAGATGTGTAAGGGAGGAATAAGTCACAGGGGCATAACATGTGATGGTGAGAGAATGAGAATGAGAAAAAGTGCATCTGTGTTGGGTGAAAAGGGAAATCTTTCTGATGGGGGTTTCCTAGAATTGATAGGTAAGAACTGAGACTTCTGATTAGCTATAAGGTTGAGATGTCCCAGGAGAAAAAAGAACTGCATTTCCCTAAATTATTGGGAAATCACTTAACACAGTCTAATTGTTTTATTTGAATCTTGTTAATAGATTAATAGAGTAGACATTTAATGCTTATGCACTTCTATTTTCAAGTTTCCCAACAAAGACCAAAAAAAAAAAAAAGAAAGAAAAGACAAATAGAACATCCTAAATTCACTTTTAATTCCCAACCAACAAAAATGTTACTCCTGGCATTCCAAGATAGCTCTTCTTAGATTTAGTGTACCATTTCATTTCATTCTGTTGTTGAAATACCTTAGTCTGTTTTGTGTTACTATAACAAAATAACTGACACTGGATAATATATAAAGAAAGGATACTTATTTAGCTCATATTTTTGAAGACTAAAAGTTCAAGATTAGGCATCATCATCATTTTGTCCCCTGGTGAAGGCCTTCTGGCTACATCAGAATATGGAAAATGGTATCATATTTGAGACGATAAGGAATAGGGAGAGGGAGTGCACATAACAAAAAAGGAAGCAAGAGATTAAACTGATTCTTTTATAACAACCCACTCTTGTAGGAACTAATCCAATCCCATGCAACCTGACCCACTTTCAAGAAAGTTTTAATCCCTTCATGAGGGTAGAATCCCAATGAACTAATTAATTTGACTAGGCACTACCTCTTAAAAGTTTACACCACCACCACACTGAGGACCAAGCTTCCAGTGCATGAGCCTTTGGGGACAAATTTTATACAGACCATAACAATACTTAGGCACTGAAATGTAAATTTCAAAGGAGCAAAAATCTTTTTCAACCTTGGTCACTGTAGTATATTGAGCACCTGGATCATAGTAGCTTCTCACTAAATATTTGCCAAATTGATGAATGAACCAGAAGGTCATGATGATGAAGCCAATTATTTAAAACTTCATTTCCTTACCTCAAGAGAAGTCTGCTTCATATGCCAGTAATGAGTGTTTTAGAAATACCTTATAACAACCAGTTTTCCAAACTGCAATTCGTGGTCTCCAAGCAGGTTTTATAGCTATGTAAAGAATGGTTATTAGACTTGTATTTACTTACAAGTAGATTTCATGTTCATTTCTGACTTTTGGTTTAAATTTTGCTTTGCAATGTATGCTCCTATGATAAGTAAAGTTCATTTCAGTTTAATGCTTTACTATAGCATATATAACAATAATTACAGAATTAGTTTCTGTTTGTTTAATTTACTACAGTATACACTATGATTTTTCTTTTATTTAACCATCTGAAAACTGAGGTATAATTTCCTCATTAACTGATTTTTTAGAAAACCTATAAAACTTATTAATAATTCTTTCAATTTTTCTAGTATCTAAGTTAAAAAGGAAGATATTCTTTTATTTAGAGGTCCCCCTAGAAGTAATTTAATCAAAAGACCTGTGTTCTAATCCCTCTATTGTTTTGTAGCACTGATAAGACAGTTAAACTTTCTGTGTCTTGAGACACAAACTGTATCTGAGCCTCAGGATTTGGCATTCAGGTAGTACTGGAGCACCTCATGAGCCACTATCCAGGGATGCCAGTCCTCCTTCTAGAGCACATCTGTTATAATTTAAATCTGAAATGTCCATCAAAGGTTCATGTGTGTAACGCTTGGTCCCCAATGCAATGATGTTCAAATGATGGGGTTTTCGGGAAGTGATTTGTTCATGAGGGCTCTGACCTCAGCAGTGGATTAATACATTGAATAATTCTCGATAGCATTAATGGGAGGTGATGAAAACTGTAGGCGGTAGGGCCTAATTTGAGAAAGTGCATCATGGGGCATGGCCTGGAAGGCTATATCTTATCTTCAGCCTCTTCTTCTCCACCTCCAGCTTCCTGGCTGCCATGAGGTGAGCAGTTTTCCTCTGCCATCCCCTTCAACCGTGATATTCTACCTTGCCTCAGGCCCAAAGGAATGAAGCCAGCTGACCATGAACTGAAACTTCTGAAACATTTGCCAAAGTGACTCTTTCCTCCTTGAAGTTGTTTTTCTCAAGTATTTTGTCCCAGAAATCAAAAAACTAACACAACATGTAACAAGAGAGGAGCAGACTATGAGAGGCTTATGCAACAACATAATCCCCTTCAGTGGATAGCTGTCAGGCTTCATTGTCAAATAACTAGAGTGAGCTACATGGATCTAGAAATTCCCAATGGAAATGCAATCTGAGCCACAAATTAAATGTGTGTTAAATAATTTTAAATGTTCCAATAGTGTATTTTAAAAGTTTAAAGAAAAAAATGAAATTAATTTAATGTTTGATTTTGCTCAACATATCCAAATGATTATCATTTTAATAAGTAAATAACATAATTATTAATGTTCTATTTATATTCTTATACTAAGTTTTCTGAATCTGGTGTGTGTTTTGTTCTTACAACTCATGACACTTCACACTAGCCACATTTTAAGAGCTCAATAACCACCTGAGGCCAGAAGCTATCATAAAGCACAAGCTCTGAAAGATAGTGCATTGTGGTCCAGAAAGTTGTAGAACATCGAGGTCCAAATAAGATAAGGTACCCAGGTTCAATACTTTTCAAAATCTGGTCCATTTAATAGGTTTGAGTCAGGAAGCTGAGGTAAACTATTCATGTCTGAGTTAGTAGTCATCAATTAAGGAAATAATCCTTAAAAAAAAAAAAAAGATTATAATTAGCAATCAAGATTTAACATACACACACATATCCCTCAAAGAAGACTACAAAATTCCACTCCAACTCACATAAGACATCACTCATTTGACAAATGTTTGTTGAAACTCTACTGTGTATCAGGCATTGGGCCTTGTACTGGGGTGACACAGGTATCTCATGTGCCTACCTGGCTTTTATGTTCAAATGGGTTGAGACATAAAAAGGCAATGAAATAAACAAGATAATTGCACATTATAATAAGTACCATAAAGAAATACACACTGTGAAGTGATAAAGAGAGCAAGGTATGGGTTCAGGGAGCTTCTTATATAAAGAAATAAAAGGAGAGAAAGCCATGAAGAGGTAACAAACTGAAACCTAAAGAATGAGGAGTAATTTGTTAGATAGTAGGTAGTAATGACCTGGCTAAACATAACAGGGAGAAAAACTTACCTTCGATAGAGGGAGTATATATGAATGCACCTAGTCTACAAATATTCTATCCTTAGCAGGAAAGAGAAATGGAAGAAGGTAACTATGATAAGCTGAAGTGATACAAAAGTACTAACAATAGACACAAAAGGCAAATCATTTTATAAGATAATCAAGATAAGAAATAAGCCTGGGATAAATATCCTCCTCCCTCAAGCATATGAATATAATTTGTAGATAAATATTCCTGTGCGCGTCTTAGAATTAAGAACTAAATTGTCTAACTGCACATTTATACTGTGCAGGAGCTTGACTGTAATTGAACAATGGATAAAAGACTTATAGGATCTGTGTGAAAAGGCCTAAGGCTTTTACATCACAACCTGAAAAGTCAATCTAATTGCT